ACCTTGATTCCATCCAGGGATGGCAGTGTGGTACTGAGGGTGCCTGGGGACTTACTGGGACTGGCAGGGCAGCTTCTCAACTCCTAGACCCTACTTTTAGTTTCCTCATTTTCAAGACATCTTTTTCTATCTTTAGACCTAATAGGAAGTGATCAGCTCAGTAGAAGATAGTCCCTGCTAGTGCTCTGTGCAACGGTGCCTAGATGGTGACACATGGCACAGAGCACACAGAGAACTCCATGCAGAAGTCTGTCCAACATCTCTTAGTTCTTACCCCAACAGAGATTTTCCTACAAACACTAGTGTTGCTCCCCTGTGCTGCCTGGAGAAATGGCTCAGGCCCAAGGAGTGTGCCAACTGACATAGGGACAGTTAATCTAAGCATCACAGCAAAGCTTCAGATTTTAGCCACAGAGGGTTGTGGGCATGACTTACAGCATCTTGTGCTTCCCTGCAGTCCTTCAGCACCTGTGTCCTGGGCGTCTGTTGGCGACAGGATGGTCTGCCTGTGTGCTCTGCTCGCTGTTGTATGGAAGGTGTCCAGTCCACGTGTAGGACAGCTGAGTAGGCAGCCCCTCCCTGGGCTTGCAGTGGAAAGTGGGTGCCAGCTTACAGAGGGTGTGAGGACTGACTGTACAGGTGACTCCAAGTGGCTGTGAGACCATGGAGCCCTATAGGAACACTTTATAAGGGCCTAGTCTCACCCTAATGAGAAGCCCTTCTCCAGTCATTGTGTCTGGGTCCCCTCAGCTCAGTAGCCTCCTGGGGTCCAGGCAAGTTGGCCTTTGTCCTGCTAGGCTGAGGCAGCTAGAGACCAGGGCAGCAGTTTCACCCAGGCAGATGTGTGAGCCCAGCTTGTCACTCAGAGTAGGTCCCATACCAAGCCCCCAACTTCCAGAGTAGACCCCCAATCCACTCACACTGTGTGGAGGTGGCTAAGCAGGAAGTAAATGAGGAAATGTGACTCCTCTGCTAGAGGCTCTGAGTGCCCACAGCCACTCCCTGTCCTGGCTTCCTCCCCCTGACACAGGTACACAGGGACTTTCTCTGCTTGCTTCATCCTTTTTTAAGGCATCTTTTCCACAGATGTCTTTGTGGCTGTGTCAAGCACCCTGGTGAGAGCCTGGAGGAAGCACACTCACCAGCTTCAGTGGTAAAGGATGGATACTGGGTCCCAGGCCACCCAGACCTGCCAGCCCAGCAGAGCTTAGGGAGTATCGAATTGTGATGGACTTACAAGGAAAACTGTTAAATCTTTTTTGTTTGTTTGTTTTTAATTTTTGTTGTTGTTGATGAACCTTTATATGCAGTCCTGAGAATCGAACCCAGTGCCTCACACACGTTAGGCAAGTGCTCCACCATGGTGCCCCAGCCTCAGCCCATAAACCATGTAATCTTTCTCTTGGTTTCCATGGAAAATGAGATTATTCCTACTTTACAAAGATATTTAAAGCCATGAGTTGCTGTAAAACACCATGAAAAACTAGTCCATAGAACACCCAGAAAACCATTTGCTAGAACAAGGTCATGGTGAAATACATTTTGGTGAATCCCTTAGCTGCACTGGAATTCTTACCAGCTTTGATTTGGCTTGGCGTATCCATCTTAAATGCTCATGGCCCAATTCCCAGGGCTCAGTAAGAAATACAGACCTTGAGCTTGAGTACTTGCTCAGGGTAATCAAGAAAGGCAAGATTTTCAAAAATAAAATGTGTCACAATATATTACAAAATTTGGTAAATAATGAAATTTTATCTAGAAATAATGAAGACAAGAATACACCATAAAAAGAAAAGGCCTGTGTCAACAATTGGGGCCATGGCTATGGTAGTCTGCAGGTCACTGCCATGTGCTGAGGTTGGCTCTGAGGTCTCTTATGTCCAATGCTAAGACAGAAGCCTGGGTCCCATGAGAGCTATTACTTGACAAAAGTCACCATAGCAGCATTTTTAAAGAAGTTGATTTTTAGGTATTACCTTATAAAAGGGTTTCCATGTGGGCCTAAGCAGAGAAGATGAACCAAGCAGAGTGGGCCCTGTCTTGGAGGGGTGGCTTGGTTTCTTTCTATGGCAGGGTGATAAAAACCAAGGGCCCTCTCTGGGGAGGTGGCTGTGAACAGGTCTGAGCAAGGCAAGCTCCTGGGGCTTGAGCAAAGAGCTTTTGAATGGGTTGGGCTTGGTCATTGCCTGCTGCCTCTCCAGGAGACTGAAGCCTTCTACTCCTCAGTCTGCACCCCACAGCCTCCATAAAGCTGCTCCAACTGGCATTATTGACACAGCAAGGTAAAGTGCTCAAAGTGTTTTACTGAAGTGAGAGAGATGCTAGAGAAATACCTGATACAAAATAAGAGTGAGAGAATACTCTTCTAGTTTCATGTCCAAACCAAGAGCAAGAGAGGACTTTCCCTCCACCTCCATTTCTGGGCCCGAGTCTAGGTGGCTGCCTTGTCGCTGGGCCCCAACTCCAGTCACCACAGACACTGTCTCAGAGATCTCTGAGCACCTTGTCCCAGGCCTGGGATACAAAACACCTGAATCTGGGGCTGGAGGTGGCACCTCTCTTCCTCCCCCACTTGGCTCCCCTCCCCCTGGTGTCAGCACCCCAGAAGAGGCAGGGAATGCAGGAAGGGGTGCATCTGCTGGAATGTGAGTCTGAAAAGGTGAAAAGTCAAGGGTCAATCCACCCCAGGCCCTGAGGCCTTCTGGCAGACTCCAACATGTCAGATCCTGAGGGCTGTGGCTGGTGATGGGTGCCTCAAAAGTGGGTAGAGCTTGAACCACAGGTTAACAGAGGGTCTCAGAGAACCCTGTCCTGCAGGTTCCATCTGGTGGCATATCTTTTTGGCTTATTTATGTATTTATTTTTATTATTATTCTGTTTTGTTTGGTAGCCAGGATTGAACACAGGCATACTAAACAACTGAGCTAAGTCCACGGGATTTATTTATTTATTTATTTATTCATTCATTCATTCATTCATTCATTTTTAATTTTGAGACAGGGTCTCCAATGATATTTCACTACATTGCTGAGGCTGGCCTTGAATTTGCCATCCTCCTGCTTCAGCCTCCTGAGATGCTGAGATAGCACGAGTGTACCAACAAGCCCGGCACAGCCTGGTGTCTTAAGAGCATACCTCTTGTCCTAATTTGTAAATGTTTCCAGGCCTCATGTCCTTCAGCTTGTCCCTCTGGCTCATCTCTTTCACTAGGGAAGACTGCCAACACAGTGCACCCTCACCTCTCTTCCCTACTCCCTCCCTTTTTCTTGATCATTCTGTTTGCAGACATTAGGTCAAATGAAAACCTACCAGGGCTTTCCCACCAGTTGCTTTGCAAATTAAGAATTTTCACTCAGGAATTCACAAGCCCACTCTTCGTCCACTGCGCTTTGTTGACATCTGCCCACCTGGCACTTCAGGCAGAATGAGCCCTCCTAGAAGAAGGGTCCTTTCTTTCCAACTCAAGGCAGAGCTGGGTTCTCCTCTTCTCCAGCTCTGGACCTGAAATGTGACCAGTGACAGGGGTGGAGACTGAAAATGTGACACCACATCCACAAAAACTCAACCGCATGTGAACCCGGAGTGCACATGTGGTTCCCACGTGTTCAAGTGCATGCCAGATCCATGCACGTGACACGAAGGAAAGCATGACATCCTGGAAGCAAATTCAGGATGTGCCCATTGGATATGGATAGAGAGCCAGGGCCTCATGCACAGTCCCCTGGTGAGCAATGCCATTGGCCATGCTGTCCTCCATCCAGAGCTCTTCACCGCCCCTCCCTCCTCTGTCCACCCTCCTCTGACTCCATTTCAAGGCCAGGGGTTCAGTGAATATATTAATTCAGCCTCCCAGCAACCTTTCCTGAGACTCAGTCCTGTTGGTTTAACTTCCCACCCTAAGCCGACAGATGCCAAGTAGGCTTATCTTGCCCCAGATGATTCTTGTCACACAAGGAATGTATCTTGTTAACAAACTAAGAAAAACAAGCATTTATCATGAAAAGCCAAGCACTGTCCTGGATACGGCTGAAGAAACAGTGCCCAGAAGAGCAGAACTTTTTGCTCTTGAGAAGGTTCTATTCTTCTCCCTACTGTGCAATGAGTCCATGGTGGTCAGCTGTGGTCAGGGCTACAAGATAGAATCATGCACTGTTGTGTGTGGGGAGGAAGCACCCAGCTTCCCTGGCAAGGAGAAACTTGCAGGAGGAGCTCAGCCTGTTATATCAAAAGAGTTGACCACCACAGATGCAGCCTGGGAACCCAGGGCAGCCTGTGGGCCTGGGCTAGATCATTGCTGCACAGACACCAAGTTAAGGATGGTGGGTTTCCTCTAAGCAACATGGGACCCTGTGCTAGTTTCCTAGGTGGTGATCTGAAGCAAAGTACCACAAAAGTGGGTGGCTGTAAAGCAGTAACCTGGACCCATATGGTGGATTGACATCTCCTCTCCTGAAATGCTGTGCAATCCCTGTCCAGTACCTTTCGCAATTAATGAGATGATTTGGGGTGAGGGGCTGTGTGGCAGGGGGTGAGGCACCCACCACTTCTCCTGGTAGGCTGCCCCTGCCCATGGCCCAGCTCTTCCTTCCCTGCACACAGTACCATGAAGTTGATGTAAGAGGACACTGAGACGTCCCCCGCCTTCTCATATGTGACTTCTCCAATAGTTTCCACCCACTCAGTACACAACCCACAGGGAGGGGTTTTGGTCAAGGTCACAGCTAAAAGTCATGACTACACTGACTCAAGGGGAGAGTCCATCCACCCAGGTCAGGGGGAGTGGGCCTGTCTGCCCTAAGTCAAAGCAAGTGAATGCTCTACACTGGCTCAAGGCAAGTGAGTTCCATCTGCACTGGCTCAGGCATGTGAGTCTCTCTACACTGCAGAGGGAGGCCAGTGCTCCAGAGGATGGAGGTGGGCCCCTGTCCTCATCCTGAGGCCCCACCTTTCTTTAAATCAGCCAGTATTTTAATCTTTGGAACAAGAATTTTATGATACAGTTGGTCTGAAACAAATTTATTCAGAAACATCTCAGAAGAATGGGGAAAAGGAAGAAGGGCCGAGCAGGGCAGGGCAAAGTGTCTCAGGCAGAACAGTCTGACGTCTTCCACAGGTGGAGGCAGAGGAGACTCAGGCCCTGTGCTGGCGTCTCCTGGCTGAGCTCTGCACTCCTTGGAGCCTCGCTGTTTATGGATGTGGCACATTTCTTCTCTCTGTCTTTGGAGCCACTTGATTGCTGACATGGTCTGCAGCAGCAGAGGTTTTGGGCACAGGTAGTAGTCCTCCTCCTCACCCGCTTCCAGGCATTTCTGTGGTCATGGCCTGGGCCTGTGGGTGTATCTTGGGAGGAGTGGCTGCTGCCTGTCCTGGCAAACATCGTCCAGGGATTGGACATCTAGGACCCAGACTCAGACTGGGAGGCTCTCCTGGGAGTGAGGGCCCTGCAGGCAGGAAGTGGAGAAAAATGTCAGGCAGGAAGCAGAGAGGAATGGCAGGCAGGCTGCCACTTCTGATGCCCTTCTGGCCTAGCTCTTGGGCCTCCTCAGGCAGCTGAGTGTCAGGGGGCAAGGGGCAGTTGCACAGGGCAGGCTCACTGGTGCTCTTCTTGGGGAGGACAGGGCCATTGGAGAGATCCTCAGGGCATGGATGAGGCATGACCCTGGGAGGCACAGGCTTCCCCTGGAATGTGCACCCTCCCCCCTGCCTTTTCTGAGGCTGGAGGATCAGGTAGGTGGCCATGGCCACTTAGAATTTTCTCTTAGACAGAGACATCAGGTTTTGTATGTATCAAAGCCCATGTCAAACAGGATGGTCATGATTGTGGTGGGATCTAGATGTTTGTGTTTGGGGAGTATCTCTCTACAATGATGGGGTACATATGGTTCACCCTGCCTCAGCCATGGGTGCTGTAAGATTTGCTTGACCATGAGCCACTTCTTGGGGTTTGCATTCAATATTTTGTGGATGAGCTTTCCTGCTTTGATGGGAACAGAGTAAGGGACAGGTACCTTGCAAAATGTGCATCACTAGAAGTCCTTTCATCTGCCTCATCACTAATAAAGTCTTCCCAAATGCTTGATTCAAATCACTTGATTTTCTTGAACTGGACCTCAACATTCATACCAAAAGTCTGCCATGTAGACGGTGGGAAGGAGGCTAAGCACACAAGCAGTTACAAATGCTGTTCTGGCATTCAGACTGCTTGCCTTAACCTCTTGCTCCATCAGATTCACCCTTCAGCTCAGACCACAGCACCCTACCTTCCTCACACCTCCTCTCATGTTCTTTCCTGAAGAGCCTGCCCCCATATAACAGAAAAGGGAACTTTTGATTCAGAAATGGTGGAAACAAAACTGAGCCAAGGTTTGGGAGCACATGCAGGGAGGGCTTTAATTGGGGAATAAGTAGGACTTCCACTGAAGGGAAACAGCATGATGGAGGAACCAGACAGCTTCCCTAACAAAGGAAGATGGAAGGTTTTAATTGATATTCTGGGGTGGGCTAGGGTCTGGTAGTTTACCACTGGCTCAGGGCATAGTTCCTGAAACTAAGTTTTAAATGAGACTCAGACACCAGGTAGTACCAGTAGAGTTGTCCCAGGATTGGCTGAGCTACTCTTGAAGCTGCCACCATCATCCTGTGCAAATGTCCTGGCCTCGTGGCTTGATCTGGGTCTTAGGAAGGACCTTGGATGCTTGTGCTGCTGCAGCTGGTGGAAAAGCATCAGGGTGGCAGAGTAGAAGAAAACACAGAGCAGCTCCCCCCACCAATCAGTGTGTCCACAAGCAGAGCTGAGTGGAACTGACCCAAGTGCTAAGGCAGCAAAGGGGGCAGAGATTAGCATGAAGACAGAGATAACCAGCCTTTGCATTCCATCCCAGTCACCTATCAGACACCTACTGCAGGCCCAATGACGTCAGTGTTTTCAACAGAAGTGGCCCTCAGGTCCCTAAAAAGTAACCTAGGCCACCTTTATCATTATAGCCCACATCAGAGGTGTCATCTACAGTAAAGCTACTAGGAAACCAATAACGTATCCACCCAGCTGTGTGACCTCCAAAATTAGTGATTTTTAAGTTGATTAGGAACAGGCAAAGCTAGAGGGTTTGCTTCAGTTATTCCCCTAGTAATAACTCCATCTTATGCAAATAGTCAGCTTCTGTTTTCATCAGTCTTGATGATAGTTCTGGGTCAAAAGCACACAAGAGTAGAGAAAAATATGCTGTGCTACAAAGGGTGACAGTTTATTGTACCAGGAGTTTGTCAGTGTCTCATGTTTTGTCTCCCCAAGTTCTCAAAAATCATCATATAAACTGATCACACTCTTCCCCTGAAATCCTTGTTCCAAGTGCCCTTATTTCTTCAGAAAATACCCAGAGTGTCATACAGAGGAGGGAGAAGGATGATATTGTTTGATGTGATTTTCCCCACAAAGGTTCCTGTAATGGAGGCGTGGTCCTCAGTGTGGAGATGTTGAGATGGAGGGAAGCTTTAAGAGGTGGGGCCTCGAGGGAGGCAACCAGTTCATGAGGGCACCACCCTTGAAAAAGATTAACACAGGTCTCAGGCAACTGGGTTAGTTCCTGTGAGAATGGGCTGTTATTTGGGAATCTGGCACCTCCCCCCTCCACTTGGCACTTATGCATATGCTCCCAATGCTATGTTCTGAGTCACCATGAGTCCCTCGCCAGAGCCAAGCAGAAGCCAGCACCCTGCTCTGGGCCTCCAGAAATGTGAGCTAAAAATCCGCTTTTTAAAAAATTCCAGTTTCCAGTCTCAGGCTTTCATTATAGCAACAGAAAACAAACTAAGACAACAGATGAGTGTGAAACCAGCAAGCCCTTGCTTCCCACCCAACTTCCTTTCCTCACCTCAATCCTAATTTCTATGTTCCATGATGCTCAACAATTCCATTCTGTCACCACAGCTTGGGCATCACAGGGACCAGGTGCAGAATGAGCACGAGACTAGCAGCAGTGAAGTCAGAGGGCAACAGTGGAGGTCCTCCCCATCATGCCTTGAAAAACAGAACCTAGCCCATCAGTTTCTCTGCTGAATGCTACAACTGCATTGCCAGCAAGTAACACAACTGGCTGCAGAAAACTTAGCCACTTGTTTTTTGTAATAATATTTGCCATGAAGAAATCCACCTGGTATGTAACCGCACAGTTGTTGTAAACCACCTTACTGTGAATGGTTAGGTATACCTCTGACCCCTGGGAGCAATTTAACTTTACAAGGCAGTGGGCAGTGTGTGTGTGAATATACCCATTCTCCATCACAACACAGGAAAGTAGAGATGCACTTGGAAAAGGGACTGATTTCTCACTGGCCCAAGTTACCCGCTCTCCCACCTCCATGGAGTCTTCTAGAGAGCACACAGAATTTGGGGATTTTTGAGCTCCCCACAGGAGGTTCCTGAAATGAGCCCTCACCCCTCACCCCTCACCCCTCCTCACAGCTCTGCATTCTACTCTAGACTCTCACTAAAAATGGGATGATATTTTCATGCCACAGTGGAGAAGAGAGAGGCACCACTTATCTTCTTATACCTGGAGAAGGGCCAATGGTGATGGCAGTTATCTGCCCACAGTGAAGCCACGGGGTCCTTCCCAGCTGCAACAGGGTGGGTGACAGCATATCCCCGGCACGGATGAATGAACCCAGCAGCCAACATGACCACAGACCCACAGAGAGGGGCAATTTCAGATCCTGGAAAAACATCTCACATGCAAACAGTAGTGAACATGGGTCTCCAAAATGGGCCCTTTATTTCTGAATTGTTACACTACACTGATAAGGTCACTCGTGTCACAGGCACATGGTGGAGTGTCAGAAGAAAAGTGGGTCAGAGGGTGAAAGCAGAGGACTGTGCCCAGGGATGACTGTTTCCTCACGGAGAAGAAACTTGGCCGCAGAACAGAATCCCTCTGGTCCTGCTGTGCTGGATGAAGAAGAGGAAGGGGTGCTCTGCACAGAAGCATGGAGGTCTGCACAGTAGCACTATCCTACAGGCTGTGGCGGCTGCAGCTTCAGTGCCCTCCTCATTGACCTCCACAAAGGACTTGTGCACGACCTTGGACACTTGCAGGTCTCTTCTGGATGACATTCCAGAAAAGTCTGCCCTGGCCTCATCGAAGGCATCAGTCATGCCCAGGTTGCGAAGGACTTCCTCCAAATCATAATTTTCCTGTAGTTTAAACCGAGGGAGGAAAACCTCCACCTGCTTTTTGTACATCTTGTCTGGGCTGGTCCACTCTATGTATTTCTCATAAGTAAGTTCCTTCTCCACCTAGAAGAGAGTTGAACGGGTCAAGACCTAGCAAGTGCTGTCACACAGGGCCATATGTGGTTATACAGATGTTCCACATTGTGAGTGGGAGCCTCGCCTTGGCCAGAGGTGGTGCTATGGGTAATCGAGGTAACCGAGGGACAGCTCAGCAGGAGAGCTTGCCTAACATCTGCAGGATCCTTGTTCCACTCCCAACATAGACACAAACAAAACAATTAAATTAAATTTAAAAAAATAAAAAGCTAACTGGGAACAGGGGACAGCAGCTACACCAGAAACCCAATGCCCTTCCCCTGCCATCACGGCCTCGTTATGGCTTAGTGCTCCTTACCGTTTTCAAGTCAATGTGCTCATCGGGCAGCATGATGATCATATTCAGCTCCTTGCTGACGTAGGGAAGGACCAGAATCTTGGTGCATATTTCCCGTATATAGGTCATTTTAAAAGTAGACTCCTTAAACATCATTTGCACAGGCTTCTCCTCATTCTGTAAGGAAATGGACAACTGTTAAGTAGAAACATGACCCAGCTGACACAGTGGACTATACCACAGAGGTTAGCCCCTGTGGGCCCCCGGAACACTCTTGACCCAGCTTCTAGAACAGGCCATGAGGTTCCTCCTAAACCCCTCTTATGGTTAGACACCATGTGTCCCCAGAGGCCAGTGTGTTAAAGGTTTTAGCTACAGTGTAGAGCTATTGGGAGGCGGTGGAACCTTTAAAAGGCAGGGCCTAGTAGAAGTTAGGTCATTAGGGCAAGTCCTTGGAGGGGACTCTGAGACCCAAGCCCTTCCTCTATCCTTCATTTCCTGACTGAGGTGACCAGTTTTGCTTGATCAACTGCTCCCAACTCTTCCATCCACCACCCCCATGCCTAAGAGCAAAGGGTCTGCCTCATCATGGATGGGAAACTTAAACTTTGAGCTCAGATGAATCTGTCCCTTTATAAGTAGATTATATCATTATTTGGCACACTGAGAGAATGCTGACTTACAAACCTCCCAACACCAAGGTACCCAGACTCATATCCAACATGTTTTTTGGTGACTTCACCTCTTCTTATTACTTTGAACTTAATCCACGAATTTACAGTTCTAGCCGGGACCTCTCCCCTGGACTCCAGCTCATGTGTTATACTGGCTGCTTAACACCCACAATTAGACCAACAGAAAGTCCTAATGTCACACATGACTGTGGGCTTCTTATATCCCCTTCCTGCTCCACCTACACCTCTGCCCATCACAGTGGGCAGTGACACCATGCATCCAGTTGTCAAAAGCCATGGTGTGTCCTTGCTCATGAATTTCTCTTACACTCTGCATCTCACTCCTTAGCAAATTATGGTGGCTCTACCTTTGAAATACAACCAAAACCTCATCTGCTTTTCTTTCTTCCAGTGCCATAACCCTATCCCTGGAATACAGAGATGACCTCAGAGGGATCCCAGTGAAACATAAGTCAGATCACACCCCTCTGACTGCACACCCTTCCATGACACCCCCTCTCCTAGGAGCAAGATCTGAAGTGCTCAGTACATCCTATAATCACAACAACAGTTCATCTCCCAATCCTTGTCTCTCCTCACTTCCTACTACTCTCCCTCTGCTGGTTCCTACACTCACAGGGGTCTCTATGGAAAATCAGGGTCATTCTATCTCTCCTCTGTCAACTCATCCCTAAAACCTAGAGAGTGTAGCCTTTGCCTTTTCCTGGTCTTTACTCAAGTATCACCCTCTCAGTGAATGCTTCCTTGATAGACCTGACCTGCAACTATACACCCATCCATAGCTTCCTGTCTGCTTCCTTTGTGTCTCTGCAGCACTTACCACTGCCTAACAACTACTAATGTCTTATTTAAGATTCTGGTTTCTCCCTCAAGAAAATGTAAGTTTCATGGGGCAGACATGTTCAGCTAGTCAATACCTGGCACATAGTAGGCACTCAATTAACATCAGCTGAATAAATGAATAAACAAACTGATGAGCAGAAATAGCCAAGGGCCATCCTCAGACCATGAGAAAGACAGAAGACAGTGACCACATCCTACCCTACAATACTGCTTAACTCATGAGTACTCCACAGTTTGATACCAGCAGCTACAATGAAGTTGTTTCTAATTCCATGCAACAGGCACAGCTGAGGGAGCTCCCTAGTTCTCTGGCACAGCACACCATTCTGGATCAAATGCAGTAAACCAAAGACATATCTGCTGTCACTTTCTGTGTCCGCCTTGTCGAGCTTGCCTGAACTAGACCTCAGCCACAACAGTCTCCTGCCCTTGGCTCCTCAGACATGTCCTTGGCCAGAAAGTGGCACACTTTTTCCATAAATTGGTGGACACTAAATATTTTGCGTTTGTGCTACAGAGACTTTCTATCATACCTACTGGATTCTACTGTTGTGACACATTTAAACAAGTAAGTATGTGTTTGCACCAACAAAACTTTATCTGATAAACTTGATATGGGCCGGCTTTGGCCCACAGGCCTCAAGGTGCTGACCCCACCTTATTCAATTTCTCTGCATTCCCCTCCAGGACCCACGGTCTCCAATCTTATAATAGAAAAGAATCCAATCTTGGTAATTTAATGACTCACTAAATATATAATTATGTTAGTAAGCTTAATCTCATTTAGAAATGAGGAATCCAAATGAAAATCCTTATCAACTCAAAATCCATGTCCCTGGAGACACCCCTGCCACACACTCTGTGGGCTGGTACAGTCAGCCCCTGCTGCAGCTCCACCCTCTCCCTCCACTGCAGAAAGCAAGGTAAACTTCTTCACTGCTCTGTATCCAGCAGAACCCACGTGAGAGCAGTTCTGGTTTCCCTCTGAATACAATGGCAGAACCTCCAAAGAAGGCCTTTTGCCCTCCATCATCTGTCCTTCCCGCTCCATCCTGCCTGGACAGTGGAGGCAGTATCTGAGCCCTCCTGTGAGCACGAGGAAGAGGCCACAGGCTGAGGTGGCAGAGCAGGGAGAGCTGGTTCCCAACAGCCTCACCCCAGTGCCACATCAGCCCTGGGTTCTCCTCTCCTCTGGGCCTCCTGGGTGGTGAGATGAGCTGTGAGCTAAACTGCAGAGATCTGGGGTTTCCGTTGCTTACAGTTGAATGAAGCCCTAACATACATCTTGTTAAAGATGAATTTCAAGGAGGAAAAAAAAATCATATTTTAGGGGAAAACAAGACAGTTCATTTCAGAATAAATCTCAACACAAAATGTATGTCTTGAAAAACTGAAGGTTCATATCCAAGTGGACGAGGAAGATCTAACTTATGTTCAGTGATCAAGAAAACATTAGTCCACCCTGTCTGCTCTGCAGCATATCAACAAAAAAAACTCTATAATTAAAGAGACTTTTTAAAAAATGGATTCTGTGAGAGAAAGACACCAGGCCATCTGCACACACATTCCAAGCTGAAGGTGGTTAAACTCAAGAGTCTAATTCTGTGTATGTATCCCTTTGCTTGTTTTTAAACAAAAATATGTACTGGTGTTATCCTTACAAACAAAGGAAGACTGAAGATCAGTGATTGGTTCAGTATTTCCTGAGCACTGGCTATCATAACTCCTTGATAACTTCCAACTGCCTACAGGTCAAGCACTTATATGACAGCCATCTGCCCTGGGATGGTTTTTCAACAAAAGTAAAAAGTCCTTCAACCACTGCTATGTCTTGTACAGACCAGCAGGGGGCACAGTGACAGCTTAGATAAAGGGGCAGATACCAGGTGGGGCTTCCAGTGGGGACACAGCAGTTAAGAAAGGAGTGTGAAGGTACTGAAGCAAATGGGGAGGATCCAGGTCTACGAGGACCCTCATACACCAAATTTGGAGTTTGAACTTTATCTCAAAAGTTCTGAGAAGCCAAGAAAGACCTAAAGTTAGCCTGAGAGCTACACCATCAGATTTGCCTTGGAGATTAACACACCAGAGAAAGTAGGACAGGTGACAGTGGCGCGGGGCGCGAGGGGGGAGCAAAGAGAACCGAACCCTTGGTGACATACAAAAGGAGGAAACTCATGAGAGAAAGGCCCCAAGGCATGGGGATTCCTTGCTTCAGGGCTACCCCACACCATGAAAGGCACAGGCTCCATGTGGTGGCCTTCATGATCTAGAAACCACCGCAAACACAGGCCCTATGTCTGGGAATCTCCTTTGTTACTATGCAGCATTCACCTTGCTGACTTTAAATGGTCTCTCCTGGGTGAGCTCTTTGTCAAACTGTGTATCCCAGTTTCCTTTGAAGTAGATGGCATTCTCGAGAACCAGTTTGGTGATTTTATCCAATGAACCTGGAGACAGCAACTTTGTAATTTTATCTGAAAGGAAGATTAAAGAACCAGTTAGCTGCGAGTTTTCTGATGGGTGTTTCAGTGATGATACAGAGAGGGACCCACCTCCTCAAATGGTCAAGCACAGAGATAAAGGATCACATATTCTCCAAATAATATAAATAGATACTTGTCATCAAAACAAGCAATATCCCTGGCATTGAAATACATGTTCTAGGAAGAAACATACCATCATTTGAATAAAACATAAAAGGAAAAAGTAGATCTTAGTAAGTGAATTCATACCACATGAGATAGAAAGAAATAATTGGTGCCTACAAATTAAACAACTAAAAATATTGTTACAAGGAGTGATTATAAATTTAAACTTAAATGTTTGAGATGCTAGATATGTTCTCCCTGATTCAAACATTACACACATTATATATGAATTGAAGCATCATGTATAGTTTTGTTATTATTTCTAGTCCAGCATATTGAACAATATTATTTTTGTACAATATATATGATTTTGTTATTATCACCTAAAAATATTTAAGATTTTAAAAAGATGAGCTGTTACAAGATGCTCTTTACAAATGTGAAGCAAGGTTTAGCCAGACATGGTGGTACATGCCTGTAATCACAGAGGCTTGGGAGGCTGAGGCAGAAGGATTGTAAATTTTAAGCCAGCCTTAGCAACTGAGGCCCTGAGCATCTTCACAAGACCCTGTCTCTAAATAAAATATTTATTTAGGACAAATATCCCATTAAATTATTTGAGGATGTGGCTTGGTATTTAAGTCCCTCTGGTTGGAATCCCTGGTACCAAAATTGAAAAGAAAAAACAAAACACACAGTTTACATTGAAAACCACAGGTACATGAGGATACCACCAAACAACTTGCAGCAATGCATGAAAACTGGGGTGCATGAGCTCACACTAGAGAGGACACAGCTGAGACCTGTCAGGTGAATTTTTCTTTATGCGACTGGTGAAAAGAAAAAACAAACAACAGCAAAGACATTACAGTGTGGATTGTTCTAGAAGAGGGGTGCTGACTATGGGGAAACATCATGGATACACTAAGAAGAGCAGGGAAGAGCTAGAGAAAATGTCATCCACTGACAGTATTTCAGAAGCAAACTTTTAAAGTCTGAAATTATTTTGAGAACAAAAACATCATTCCTGTTTATATTCCACAATCTTGTGAAGGAACTTACAATAAGGCTGTTGTCAATACTATTAAAAACAAAACAACAGGCTGGGACTGTAGCTCATCGGTAGAGCATCTGCTCAGCATGCCCAAGGCCCTGGGTTGGATCCCCAGCACTGCAAACAAAGCAAGAATAATCCCACCATCAACAGAAACAACAAATAAAAACTATGCTTTTACCTTCTGTCTCTTTAGCTACCCAGGTGTTTATGTGTTTTCTGGACTCCTCTGTAGCATTCAGAAAGTCAAGCTCTTCCATCTCTGCTTGGTACAAATTCTGGCAGGAATCTTTAAAAGACTAAGGCAGAGCAACATAATTGCATGGTTCCAAAATAATTAACAAGTGTACTTCTTTCATATACCAAAGCAGAAAATCAAAAATGTGCTGATTTAAAGATGTTATTTACAAATAAATACGTAGAGTAAACATAAAATCAACCTACTCAGTTTGGGCCATCTTTAATGTCCCTAATATCAAATAAATTTCATGAATGGCTGGATCTTTATGCGAGCTGCTGAGCCTCAAGAGGTAACTGGGAGGAAGCTGAACTGCAATAACTGTGGAGAGAAAGTTAACCCAGCAAGAGCTAGCACTCCTCTGCACTCTGGAATAAGGGATACTGAACACAGAAAGTAGAACATAGGAAAATGAGCCATTCTGCACCACCCTGCCACCACAATTTCCTGTGATAACAGAAAAATGAGCACCATCAAAAATGGTATCACAGGTGACTACAGAGCACCTGAGATCAGGTCAGTGCAGCTGCAGAACTGAATATTCTCTTTTATTTTATTTTGATTAATTACATGTGTCTAGAGATTACCAGTGCTGCTGAACATCTCATTTTGGGGTAGTAAGCAATTCTCAAAAAAACGACCAGGGTTATGATTTGACTCAGTGGTAAAGCATTTGCCCAGCATGGGAAAATCCCTTGGTTCGATCTGATCCTCAGAATCACCAAAAAAGAAAGGAAAAAGAAGTTCAAAGTGTTTTACTAATATATTCTATGAAATGATAATGACATTGATGAACACATACATTCTACCATGTTAAAATAGAAAATTTGTGGAATATAAGTGTGCTTAAAACTCATTACATTGGCAATGCACTATGAAATTATTTCCTAATCTTCCTTTTGAACAACTTATGGCTCCATATTTGATTTCTCGTTATAAGGCAAGATTTCACATTTCTCCTTCAGTATTGCGCAGACACAGGTGTTAGGAACGCAAGTTCTTTGATTTATTAGCTGAGTGGCCTTAAAAAGGATAATTAGTGTCTCTGCCTCTTCGTTTGCCCTGGAAATGAGACAGCACTGGCTGTATGAAGCTCCCAGAGTTACTTTGAGGCCCAGCTGAATTACTTTCATTATTACTACTTTATCCAGTGTTACTGAATTCTCAACATATTGTGGGCACTTAAAAGGAGAACTTCCTGTATCATTCCATTTCATTCTCACATAGTTCTTGCTTTACCAATTTCACTGTTCTGTTTCTGAAAAATTTTAAATCTTTCAATCTAAGAAAATAGTCTGAAAGCAAACTGGCCACTCAAATATTGATAACTTGCCACACACTTGTGAGTGATTTTTACAACTTTTAAACACCCTAGGAAATAACTACCTGCTATTCAAGTTACTCTTATACAAACAATGAAAAATCAAACTCAAGGAACATGTAATTATACATCATGGTTGGTATTCAATTTTTGGAAGTTTAAATTCATGAATGGCAAATATTTCTAATTTCCTTATTATATATACTGATATAAATTTTTAAATATCAATAGCTTTCTGAAAATATCCACAAAAATAACATGAAAGAAAATTAAATCAGCCAATCATGTGAGTGTGTTGGAATTTCTGTACATATAAAAGACTTAAAGAGGGTGATGATACCTATAAAGTAGCTAAGACTAATTAAATAAGTTAAACAGATTATAAGAAATCATACTGTGATAATAGTTGTTACCAATATTTGAACCCATGCTTGTTTATGTTCATTTTATAACACTTCTTTTAAAACAATTAATGTAATTTAAAACAGGTTTGAAAAATGAGGGAAAAAACATAGAAAACATTGAAATCCCATACATACAAAAACTCTTATAAATCAATAAGAAAAGGGAATACAGATCAATAGAAAAAGGTGCACAGAATATGTAAATAAACAATGTGCAGAAAACATATACAGGTTGAATATCCCAAAATGCACATGCGCTGAAGTATTTTACATTTTGGCACTTTCCAATTTTGGATTTTGGAATTATGGACTCAGTTTGTCCATGCTCAAAGGGCTTAAATTCAATCTCATAAGGAATCAAGATTCAAAAGCTACAAACATGCAGTGTTGATCATGGTAGATGGAAACCAACATTCTGCTTATATCCCTGAAAGAAACAGATACATCACTTGGAGAGACATTGAGTAATATATATTAAAATCTCAGTGCTCTATATCCTTCCTCCCTCCACAAATCCACCTGGGAGCAGCACACACACACATACATGCACAAAGTCACAGTCAATAACACTGTCTGTAACAGCCCAGACTGGGTCTGACCTAAAGTCCATCCATGAGCAAATAGCTTTCTATGTTACAATGTGTCCAACTTAGAATTATCAGATGATGGTTCATAATAGTGATATAGGCTGGGGATGCACTCAGTGGTAGAGCTCATGCTTCTTTATATTTGAGGTCCTGGGTTCAAAACCCAGTGCCACATAATGGTGATGATGATGATCATGATAACAACACTGAAGTAGATCCACATACACTGAGATGGGAAGAACAATAGAAATATATTTCAAAACAACATGTATTGGATAAAGGCATAATGCAGAGAAAATTAATAGAAAAAAAATTTCTACATGTGCAGGAGGATGCCTGTCAAATCTATGAAAGCTCTTATTCTGGGAGGGATGATAGGTTGTGGGAAAGAGGTTAATGTGGCTCTTTGCTGGCTTTATTGCATTCTGCACAAAAATGTACTCACCTGTGACTTGAGTAGTTTTCTGATTTTTTAAATGAAAGGGTGTGAACAAATACATGAGTAGCCAGAAACCTGAGTGAATTCACAGCCCAGGCTCTTTCAGCTGCACCACGAGTCCCCCTCCTCCCCACCACCTTGCTTCATCAAAAGTATCGAGTATGACTTACTGAGAGGAAATCATAAGACTTTTCTCCAAAGACCCTGTTGGCTGTTCTAAGCAAGTACTGTGTGTCCGACTTGTTCAATTCGGTGAGAAGGGACTGGAAGCCCTGGTGCACATCTCCACCATCACTGCTGCTGCTTTTATTTAAGGAAAGTGCCTGAAATCAGAAGCAAAACAAAAATACACCATTGCAGTAGGCCCTGACTACAGGGAACAAGCAAACTATCCTAAACTTGGCCTAAGAACTGTGCAGATTCTTACCACCAACCAATTAGAGACAAAAAGTATCTTGAAAGCTCACTCTCCAGTGTCCCTCCCAGGATCCTTCTCTGTACCCTGTCAGTATTGTTCTGAGCAGAAATGTTTCTCCACAACCCAGGCTCTTTGTATCTGGAGCCTCACTGGAGACAGAGTTATCACCAGACCTCCCATCTCTGCAAACACAGGATGCTCCAGAATATTGTAAGGTGCAGTCTCTCCCTGCCTTTAGTTTTGTAAAGGCTCTGACCAACAGAATTCAGCACAAGCAATACTGTCCAGGCCTGAACCTTAAAAAGCTTTGTAGCTGTCACGTTCACTCTCTTGCACCCTGCTGCCATGTTGGAAGGAAGTCCAAGGTATCCCCTTGGAGGATGTGCTACCACACAGGCTGAGTTGCTGGGAAGAGAACCAAAGCCCCAGCCAATACCCATCACCAAGACCCCACATGTGAGAGAAAGCCTCCTTGGACCTTGCAATCCAGCTGTGTATTGCAACAGTAGCCTGAGTGACCCCAAGTGTCATCACAGGGAGCATACAAACTGCCTCTGAGGCCACTGGATCTGAGAAATAATCCACCATTATTATTTCAAGCCACTAAGTTTGGGGATGGTTTGTTTTGCAGCAACAGATAACATGTGCAGCAATGCAGAAGTGTTCCATCATAACAAAAATAAACAACTTGATGCTGGCTTTGGACATGGGCAGTTGACAGTGGCTGGAGGGACAGGGATGAAATTACTACCACAGTCTGCATTGTAGCAAGAGGTAAGATAGGACACGTTCCCAATGAATGCCCACAGCTGTCTAAGATGTCTGGGAAGTGCGTATCTTCCTTTTAGCTGCCTAACTTAGAGTGTGGGAAGAGAGAGATGAGCTAAAGAAAGAATTATTGTATTTGCAAGCAGAATATCAAGGAACTATTTCTAACCCAGGTCTTGATGGGTAGAACATAAAGGTGTTTCTTATCTTGGAGCTCCCTCTCCAGTTGAAAACCTAATTCTCAACCTAAGAAATGGCCTCAAGGTAGAGCTCCAATCCATGGCCTCAGGAGCAAGATCAAGATCCACTTTGTAAAAACCTATGGACAACAAAGGCAGCATCTCATAGACCTGTAGACAAAGGGGCTTCTTAGCAACTCATGGACACTGCCCCACAGCACCCTTACTTCCAACCTGACACAGTCTTGTCTCAAACAGGCTTGTGCATGTGGCTTTTTCCAGTGCAGCAGGCTGCAACTTGAGACACAGAAATCCTACAATGGTTTTAAAGGAGTTATAAAACCTTGTAACTAAAAGGTGAGACAATTCAAAGTGAAGAGAGGCCCTTGAACCCCAACTCTCTTTTGGCAGGAGGAAGGCTAAGAGAGCAACACACATGAAACATGACCCATTTCTTCTGGAAAAGGACGGGAGTTGCCAAGCGCTAAGCCCAGAATGCACAGGGGGGTGCCATGGCCTTACATGTGAGGGACCAGGAATGAGTCCCAGGAAACCCAGGTGGAGCCAATCAAGGAATATTCCCACCCTGAGGGCAGAGGAGCCTGGCACACACACCTGGCTGGATTTGGAAATTGCTACAGTTCAGGGACTGCAATGTGCTCACAGGGGTGCTCAGCAGGGGTAGCATGTGCTTCTTGTTAACTCTCCATCCACACCCCTCTGATACTCTCTGATGTCCATCCACAGCAGTCCCTTTGGGATTTGAAGTGTGGAGAATCAGCTCAATTGACAACTACCAGCATTTACTATTATTCCCAAAGGACACCAGGTACCTGAGCCATCTGGACTGCGGTGGTTCCCTTTGCCCCCATGAGGACCATGGCCAGGGCCAAGGAGATGCTGATGGGTGAGTGAAACACATTTCTTGAACTGTCTTCACCCAGCGTTTTTAGAAGGTTTAAGGCAAAGGTGCCAGTGGCTTCCAACAGAGGATCCATGATGGCGAGCCTGGAACGATGGACTTCAGATCAGTATCACATGAACACAGGCTCACAGGCCAACTGCACTTTCCCTCCCATTAACACCACTGCTGCTGTGGTGCAATAAGCAAACAGACACACACAGAACTCTGAGGGTCTTTTTGGGGTCTCAAGATTATTTTATGTCCTAATATTAAATGAAAAAGAAGAGTAAAATTTAATACTATGATCCTGTTGTGTGAAGACCTGTATCTGCACACTTCTTTGTTTGCATGGGCAAAGTCGGGGTGGGGGGGGACACAGGCACCACATTGCTGCAGTCACTTCCTGGAGTGGGTAAGAGAAAGGGTGATTGACTTTGGCTTCCATGTCTGTATTCTTTGGTGTGTTATAAGAGCTTATTGTATCATTTAATTTGGAAATCATTAAAAATTACAAATTTACTCACAAAGTTACAAAGACAAAATACACAAGTGTTTTTATAATATGGGAGAGTTCCCCATTTTTGGGTAACCTGAAGCCTTAAAATAAATTTGGGAGGTAAAGCCACATGAGACCTTTCTCTCCTCTGAATTAAATACCCACCCGTCTCCCCCAACAGATGAGGGTGCTCACTCAGGTGTGCTCAGCAGGACACCATTAAATCCTCAATTCATCTAGGGAACCTATGCATGTGATAAAGCCCAAAAGGCCATGTTAAGGGCCTATGCTGTCACAGGCAAGGGCACTTGGCCCATGTGCTCACAACTCTTCCTCATCTCTTGTCAGTGGTGCCTACCCATGTCCATCTCCACACACTCAGAGCTCAGGGGTGTCTGGAGCTTTTCCAAAAGCACATTTGGCAATGCCCTGGCAGCCCTGGCAAGGTCAAGGGCAGGAACACAGTTAACCAGTCAGAAGTGAGTGGGGTGCAGGTGTCTTCAGGCCAGTTGGAATCACAGAATCACAAAATGTTATATAGCACAGCAGGACTTCAGTGATCCCTATTCACAATTTTCCATTTTCAACAGGGATCAGGAAGTTCACCAGGGTGAATTGATTGCAGCTGAGAAGCATATGGACTGAGTCTTTCCAATACACTTGGAGAAGTCATGAACTTCAGGAAGAGCCTGAAGGAATCAGGTGAGAGGACAAGAGGAAAGAAAGGGCTCAATCAGACAGGAAGTCTGCACATGCAGTAGAGCAGGCCAGGTGCACTGTGGGCACAGGACCTGTCTGTTCTAACATGGTTCACAGATGTTTACCAAACTCATTTCCCCAGCAGCAGAATGCCAAAGTTCTAAGACAGTCCCCATGATTCCCCTGAGCAGTGGGTGGAAACCCCCAGAACAAGGAGGAAATGAGTGTTTCAGAGTACACAGGAGTGGGAAGGTGTACCTAAATAAGGGACTGTGACAAGAACATGAAGCATCACTTTGTATAGCATCCCATTCATATAGCTTTGGTCCATAGAACAAGGTCCCCAAACACATCTAGGTCCTAATCCCTGGAACCTGTGAAAATTCCCTCATATGACAAAAGAGACTTTGCAGCTGTAATTAAGAATCTTCTGATGGAGAGAATATCATGGACCATTCAGGTGGCTCCCAAATGCAATCATGTGGTCACATGTAGTTTATAAAAGGGGGTGTCAACATGAATAAAAAAGGAAAGAAATTCAGAGAGAGGCTCTCTAGAACAAAGATTTACATTGAGATTAGCAAAGGGTTGCAAACCATAGTGGGCAGACTATGAAAATCAAAAACTCATGGGAATGGAGAGGATGAGACCAAGAGGAAATTTGTCAGAGCTAAGCAGCCAGGTGTAGTGGCACATGCCTGTAATCTCAGTGGCTTGGGGGGCTGAGGCAAGAGGATCAGAAGTTCAAAGCCAGCCTCAGCCACTTAACAAGCTCTTGTCTCAAAATAAAACATAAAAAAGGATGAGGATGTGGTGCAGGTGTAAATTGCCCCCAAACTCAATCCCTGGTACAAAAAAACAAACAAAAAAACAAAACTAAGCTCCTGAGCAAATATTATTTTATACCCATGCTTTAATGTAATGGTGTCCTGGGATGGAATTAACCTCAGGGGACCATTTCCTGTCTACAAAAACAAGGGAGCAGGGCTTATTGGTTCCTGGTCATTGTGCCCCACCCCTCAGGTGTTGCTTGACAATGGGTGCTCACACTTTTTATAACCAAGCACATTTGTGTAGTTAGTGGATCTCTGGGCTTCAGTCTCACTTTCAATGGTATTGACAAGTCCTTGGCCAAACACCAAATTGCAATTTCTTGTAATCTCGTGTGTTGCCTTAAAGGAAAGTAATGTTTGGGTTTTTCTCCATCTGAGTTGCAAAGTCTGCAGTTCTAGCACATACCTTGGCTCTAAGTCTTTTGGTTTAACTGTTTATACCTTTAGGTTGGTTTATGGACTGTTCATTCACCTGGGAACCTGTAAAAACTAAACTGTTTATACAGAAATCCTAGATGGAATGCAAACATCACTGAATTCTGTTACTTTTTATTTATTTTTAATTCTAATTTGTTATATATGACAGCAGAGTGCATTGAAATTCATATTACACATATAGAGAATAATTTTTCACATCTCTTGTTTTATACAAAGTATATTCACAAAATTTGTATCTTCATACATGTACTTAGGGTAATGATATCCATCTCATTCCACCATCTTTTACCCCCTTGCTCCCTCCATTTCCCTCCCACCCCATTGCCCTATCTAGAATTTCTAACCCTCCCATGCTCCCCTTCCAAACCCCACTATGAATCAGCCTCATTATATCAGAGAAGACATTCCACATTTGTTTTTTGGGGATTGGCTAACTTCACTTAACGTTATCTTCTTTAACTCCATCCATTTACCTGCAAATGCCATGATTTTATTCTCTTTTATTGCTAAGTAATATTCCACTCTGTATATATACCACAGTTTCTTTATCCTTTCATCTATTGAAGGGCATCTAGGTTGGTTCCACAGTTTAGCTATTGTGAATTGTGCCTGTATAAACATTGATGTGGCTGTGTCCCTGTAGTATGCTATTTTAAGTCCTTTGGGTATATACTGAGGAGAGGAACAGCTGGGTCAAGTGGTGGTTCCATTCCCAGTTTTCCAAGAAATGTCCATACTGTTTTCCATATTGGCTGCACCACTTTGCAGTCTCATCAGCAGTGTATGAGTGTACCTTTTTCCTCATATCCTTGCCAACACTTATTGTTGTTTGTTTTCACAATATCGGCCATTCTGGCTGGAGTGAGATAGAATCTGAGTAGTTTTGATTTGCATTTATCTAATTGCTAGCATTGATGAACACTTTTACCTATATATATTGATTGATTCTATATCATCTTTTCAGAAGTGTCTGTTCAGGTACTGGGCCCATTTATGGATTGGGTTATTTATTTATTTATTTATTTTTGGTGTTTAACTTTTTGAGTTCTTTATATAACCTAGAGATAAGTGCTCTATCTGATGTGTGAGTGGTAAAGATTTACTCTCAAGATGCAGGCTCTCTATTCACCTCACAGATTGATTCTTTTGCTGAGAAAGTTGGAGTCCATCCCATTTATTGATTCTTATTTTAATTCTTGCACCAAAGTAGTCTTATTAAGGAAGTTGGGGCCTAATCCCACATGATGGAGATTAGGGCCTACTTTTTCTTCTATTAGACACAGGGTATCTGGTTTTATTCCTAAGTCCTTGATCCATTTTGAGTTGGGTTTTGTACATGGTGAGAGATGGGGGTTTAATTTCATTTTCTTGCATATGGATTTCCAGTTTCCCCAGCACCTTTTGTTGAAGAGGCTATCTTTTCTCCAATGCACGTTTTTGGTGCCTTTGTCTACTATAAGATAACTGTAGTTTTGTGGGTTATTCTTTGTGTCCACTATTCTGTACCATTGGACTACCAGTCTGTTTTGGTGCCAATATCATGCTGGTTTTGTTTCTATTGCTCTGTATTATATAGTTTGAGTTCTGGTATATTGATGCCACCTGCTTCACTCTTCCTGCTAAGGATTGCTTTAGCTATTCTGCGTCTCTTATTTTTCCAGATGAATTACATGCTTGTTCTATTTATAAGAGGAATGCCATTGGGATTTTAATTGGAATTGCATTAAATCTGTATAGTGCTTTTGGAAGTATGGTCACTTTGATAATATTAATTCTGCTAACCCAAGAGCACGATAGATCTTTCCATCTTCTAAGGTCTTCTTTGACTTTCTTTATTTAGGGTTCTATAATTTTCATTATATAGATCTTTCACCTCTTTAATTAAGTTGAATCCCAAATATTTTTGAGGCTATTGTAAATGGGGTAGTCCTCCTCATTTCCATTTCTGAGGATTTATCACTGATATACAGAAATGCATTTGATTTATGGGTGTTGATTTTATATCCTGCTACTTTGCTAAATTCATTTACTAGTCCTAGAAGTTTTGTGGTGGAATTTTTAGCGTCTTCTAGGTATAGAATCATATCATTAACAAATAGAGCCAATTTGAGTTCTTCTTCTCCTATATGAATCCCTTTAATTTCTTTCATCTGTCTAATTGCTCTGGCCAGTGTTTCAAGAACTATGTTAAATAGAAGTGGTGAAATAGGGCATCCCTGTCTTCTTCCAGTTTTTAGAGGGAATGCCTTCAATTTTTCTCCATTTAGAATGATGTTGGCCTGGGGCTTAGCATAGATAATCTTTACGATGTTGAGATATGTTCCGGTTATCCCTAGTTATGTTCTAGTGTTTTGAACATAAAAGGGGGTGCTGCATTTTGTCAATTGCTTTTTCTGCATCTATTGAGATGATCATGTGATTTTTATCTTCAAGTCTATTGACGTTATGAATTACATTTATTGATTTCTGAATGTTGAATCAACCTTGCTTCCCTGGGATTTATCCCACTTGATCATGGTGCACAATATTTTTGATGTGTTTTTGTATCCGATTTGCCAGAGTTTTACTGAGAATTTTTTGCACCTGTATTAATTAGAAATATTGGTCTGAAGTTTTCTTTTTTTGATGTGTCTTTGCCTAGTTTTGGAATCAGGGTCATATTGTCCTCACAGAATGAGTTTGGAAGTGCTGCCTCTTTTTCTATTTCCTGAAATAAATTGAAGAGTATTAATATTACTTCTCCTTTAAAGGTCTTTAGAACTTACTTTTGTTTCTATCTGGTCCTGGGCTTTTCTTGGTTAGTAGAATTTGATTGTGTCTTCTCTTTTGTCACTTTAAATTGATCTCTTTAAATTGTGTATACCATCCTGATTCAATTTTAACAAATTATATGACTCTAGAAATTTGTTGATGCCTTTGATATTTTCTGTTTTATTGGAGTGCAAGTTTTCAAAATAATTTCTAATAATCTTCTGTATTTCCGTAGTGTCTGTTGTGATATTTCCTTTTTCATCACGTATGTTAGTAATTTGAGTTTTCTCTCTCCTTTTGTTTGTTAGCATGGCTAAGGGTCTGTCAATTTTATTT